CGCTGTAGTTGCACGCGGGCAATTACGACGATCGGAAATACACGCGATATACGCGTGAACGCGACAGTTTCGAACGTGCGCAACCTGCCATTTGCATTCGTGGAACGCGCGCGTATCCACGAATGCAAATGCCATCGATGCGCGATAACGATGTCCTTCTTCCGCTTACGAATAAACGTGGAACGATCGATCGACTGATTCGACGTTGCCCGTGTTTGTAATTTCCACGCTCAAGGCTGAACGACGGTTCGACGTTGGAGAGTTTGACGAACGAAGAGAGCACCGTATCGCCAGACGTTGTTAGTTGCGACGTGCCGGTGGAAGTCGTTGTTGCTCGGTCGAGCGAAGATACAAAGGGAGATGATGCACGCGAGAACGACGACGGATGTCGTTGCGACGTATCCGCGAACATCGACGATAATGCGGTCGAGAATACGGTCGAGAAAAATCCAGAGACGCGTGCAGTCGCGGTCTCTGTGCACGATGAACTTGGATCTGTGCACGGAGATGCAAATTCTTCCTCGAAATCGACGGTCGACGCTTTGGAAGTTTCATCGTCGAGGAAAAAATCGTCGAGCGAAAGAGAAAGCGACGGTACCGACGCAGCCACTGTCGTTGTCAACAGTGGTACTTGCAACGATGCTCGAACGTCTTTAGGAACGTCTGCTATATTTTGTACGGAAACGACTATTCTCGGCGCGTCTACCAGTTCTCTCGCGTCGATTTCAAGCTCGACTACGGTCCCTTACAGACCCGGTCCGGCAAGACATCGGAGAATAGGTTACATCGATGAGAACGACTTGAGCACGCCGTACAATCGTTACAGATGTCTCTCTCCGAACGAACATTATGGCAAGTTGTTTTGCAAATTGTCTCGGCAATTTCGTTCGGCTCGATCTTCGATTCGCGCGAATCCGTGATTTTCATCCTCTGTCTCTCTTTCGTTTCCTCAGGGAGAAGCACAGCTTGTCGTTTCTTGAAAAGGCAGTTCAGTTTAGATCGGCCGGATGAAACGGCTT